GGCGTCTTGCATATCTCAGTCTTCTCTAGAGTCTAAATCAAAAATGTGTCCAATAATACATACTTGGTGGCAGGATCCCTATCTAAAACTTTTGGATCTGGATTTTGACAGCCTTTAAGCTCTCATATTGTTATAAACTTCTACCAATACTGTAGGCATCTCTTATGAGTCTAATAAACAGATTAAAGCTTATATATGTATATAGAGGATATTAAAATAATGCCTGGAATAACAATATCTTGATAAAAATATTTTTTAAAAAACTTGCTAACGCACGTTTTCTAACTACAGGCCTATAAATTTATAGGCCTGTAGTTCAAGAAGTACTACACGTCTTCCTTTATGTTCAGATCTGAATGTATAGCATCTTAAGTTTTCAATTAAAATACTTTTGTTTGTAAATAATATAAAATAATTATTTTTCTAAATAAGTTTAATATAAAACCCGAACACTAATAAGCGACAAGATAAAAAATAATAATAATTTTATCAAACTGACCAAAGACCAACACAATGATAGTAGGGAACATCTGAAATATTACAAGAGAAATATAGAAAACTAGATGAAAGTTTATTATGAAAATAGTAAAATTTCTTTAAAATATTTTCAAAGTTTATTAACGGTTGTCTTTTGTGATGAATTTACTACTATTAATATAATTAAATTAATTTCTAAAAATTTTCAGTCTAAAATTTTGTAATAAAATAATTACTTAAATTCAGAACAGTTATTCAAAATTTTTCTTTCTGTTTTAATTTTAAAACTTTAAGAAATATTTAATTAAAATTGACTTGAAATCATGTTTTGTAAATTGATAATGTATTTGCTTCAGTATATCTGAAACAAATACATTATCAATTTATACTCTATCTTACATTTTAAACTGATCCATTTTAAATATGTGAATTAGTATAAACAATAGATAAATATATTTCAGTTATACGTTTGAAAAAAAATTGCAAATTTATTAAAATAGAAATAGAAATTATAAAATATGTTAAATGTTTTGATTTATCATAAAAATCGAATTTGCTAAAATTAAATTTGTGCAGTTTAGTTAACTTGAATTCAATTTTATAAATTATTTTTTTAATGTAGAATTTCATGATACAGTTTTCATTTTTATCTAATTAATAATCTTCATTATATATAAATGAAAATGTTTGTTTGTTCGCTATACACCTCTAGGCCAGTGGAAATTTATAGGTCTACATTTTTTTTTTTTTAAATTGCTGCCCAATAATTTTTCTTTACCGTCATATAAATAAATTATTCTAGCATTTTTACAATATTTTTTTTTATTTAAACAAGTGTTATATAAAGTCATTCGAACGTTAAGGTTAGCAACTTCGATCACATGCGGGGCCTAGCACGAATCACTTTTCAAATTTAAATATAAATCAGTATTAATGGGTAGTCGTTGACCACTCTCTCTTCCGAGAGGTCGTCGACAACTACTTTTGGTCGAATTAACTTCGACTCCCTTTTGCAACACTCCCTTCTTTCTATTGGACCAGCAGTATGGTGGCATTTAAATAAGAAAATTACATATTACGACGTTACTGGCCAGCAAAATATGTTCTAAGTGGTTTTCCAGGATGTTAAGTTTAAATATTTTGTCCGTTTTTCGGAAATTTGATTGGAAGGCAGATTACCGTTTGATATTCGTCTGTGAATGGTAGTTTCCTATAGTTAACATTAGAAAATATCACATCTAAAACATTTAAAATATATTTTCAATTCCAGTCTACTTGACCATTGACTTTGTGCTATTTCGCACCATCCGAGTATCGCGGTAAAGCTGACGATAGTAGGCTAAAATAACCAAAATCTTTATATAGTTTTCATTTTAAATACTTGTTATATTGTAGTATTAGATTTATATAACAAGAAAGGCTTTCTTACGTAAGGGTTTATCACACCAAATGAACAATCTAACGCATTTAAAAAATTTTTTATTTCGCTACTGCACACAATTTAAAGAATTCAAAATTAAAATGTGTTTGATTGGGCACTTGGTTTAATAAACACTTATGTAAGATAATCTTTGTAGTTATAAATCAAATACAATAATATAATATAAGGATTAGAAGTACGAAATAATTTAATAATTTTAATCTTTACTGTTATTTTTTGTCCTGGCAACGCACTGCTCATCTGCTAGTATTTTATTATTTGCTAATTAAATAGTAAACTTCGAGAAAATGTAATACAGTAAATAGAAGAAAATGGAACCCTTTTGCTTTTAATGAATATGTCACGTGCGTCCACCAGTGACCAATTGGTCCCGTTCTCTGAACAGTAGTCGTGGATTCGCCCCTCGCCAGGATGGGCTATCTTCTTCCGATCGAGTTTAAATTTGGAAAAAGATGGAGTAAACTAATTTTTTTGAATTCATGTAGAAAGCATAACATGAGATATAAGTACTAAAAGATGTACTAAAAATAAGAAAATAATAATAATAATAATTTACTAACATATAAATGAAAGAATTTAACTCGGTTATTACATAATTATTTTTTAATGAAATAAAANAAGATGTACTAAAAATAAGAAAATAATAATAATAATAATTTACTAACATATAAATGAAAGAATTTAACTCGGTTATTACATAATTATTTTTTAATGAAATAAAATTTCAGTTATTTAAAGTAAAATTCTAGTTATTTGGCATTTCTCCCTTTATTTCCTCAACAATTGTGAATTGTCTTACTTTCCTCATATTACAAATTGAGCATATCACTCTCTATAAATTTATGTAACTTCTTACTTTTTTTTATTTCCTACTTTATTCAGATTTGAGGAAATATATCGATTACAATTGTCGACTAGAATAGTATTAATGCAATTATATTAAATAATTTAGATAAATATTAAATGAAACAATGTGTAAGTTAATAATATATGTAACAAGAGATGGTGACCATACATAAGAAGACTATAAAGTAAAGAATTAAACACTTTGTTTAGTTTTTGTAAGAAAACATTCCTTTCGTAACTAACTACAAAGTTAAAAGTACTGAATTTTAGACATTTTTTTTATCTTCGTTCTTCTAACAATCAAGTCATAAGTGACTTTTATTTTTTTCTCTCAATTTATTTTGTATTGTTTTTCAAGGAATTGCTCTGTCAACATAAAAGTATCTCAAATATTCTGTTTCTATTTTTATAGTTCTTATAAAGATATATTACTTTTTCATATAAATACAAGGTAATGTTTTCCACCGTAAAAAGCAAAAATGTTCAATCTGTTACACGTATACGACTTGCAACACATGAAAAGCTATCAGTTATAAATGTTTTTGTGTCTCAGGACGACCGATATCAATCATATAAATCCAGTTTTTCCATCCACGATGTGTCTGATCTGCCAACTTCTCAGAACAACAGCTTCTTGCACCAAGAGAATATAAGAAAGCTTTTTCTTTGGTAAAAATAACTACGTATACTGCTTCAAATAATAATATATATATATACCAAATATACATCATAAATTACCCTGTTATTCATAAGAAAGGATATTTTTTTATCTCTCATAATTTAAAAACATTAATTTTAGATTTGATAAGGATTAATTTAATTGTCATGCAGTATTGTCCAATAAATTACTTTTGACTAACAAATTTTAATATAAAATAATACAGTAAAATATTATCAAATTATGCGTAAAAATGTGATATAAATAGAAATTTACTGAATTGGGTTGTTCTTACTATTGTTGATATTAGGAGCAGTCATCCCTTGTCTTATTTGGCGTTACCCTGTATTAATAAAAATAAAGAAATAGATAAAATCAAAATTAAAAAATTTAATTTAGTAATAGACTAAATATTAATACATAATTATTATAAGTTAGAACATAAAGTATTTCAAGATGAACATTTGAAAATGATCTGTAATATTTACCGGTAAAACAACTATACCTAGTTGCATGATATATTCATCCACGACCTAAATAAATATGCTTATATTTTTAAAATAAATTTAAAGCTTTATAACAGGGGTGGCCAACCTTTTCAGATGGCGGGTCAAATTTCAGAAATAATATTTCTTGCCGGGCCACGCACCTATTTTTTTTTTTTTTTTTTTATTAAAGTAAACAAGCAAGCATGCTACAGCTTCAACCACATCGTCGCTTCCCAGTAGGTGAGATCGTGGTCAAACACTTGCCTGGTTTAATGTAAAAAAACACAAAAAATAGGTATATTCATTTTTTTCAAGAAAATAAAACATAACCAAGAATCAAACATATTTATTAGACAATTTAAAAATATTTAAAAGTGAGACATCTGACTTTGTTTTACAGAACTAAGTGCATCAAAATTGATCTCCACTGATGTTGTCGCTACACGCAAACAGTTTTCCAAATGAACATCAGTAATTCGTGTTCTCACTTGTGATTTGATGTACTTCATGCGACTAAAAAGTTGTTCACACGCATAAGTGTTTCCAAATAGCGAAACCATTGACAGAGCATGTTTGTAAAACGCAAGATATTTATCCTTGTCCAAATACGTTTCATAGAACTCTTCCAAACCAACTTGATGGAATTTCTCCTTTAACTGTGTATCACAACATATTTCACAATGTTCTATTTGTAATCTTTCTGGTAATAAATTTACGTCTACCGCGAATGGCGTTGCAAATGCACGAAAAAGCACATGATGTTTTTCAAAATCCTGAAATCGGTTTTTAAATTCGAGATTTAAGTGAGATATCGAAGAAGCTCCTGTGTGATGTCTGGTATTTTTTTATTATGTATCATTTTAAGAAAAGCTATTAAGAAAACTCCTATTCTTTGCCTTCAAAGCAATGACAATGTAGGAAAGTGAGTAAAGTTTTTTGTCTTCAACTGTTGTTCCCAAAGACCAAGTTTCATTTGAAATGCAGAAATATGATTATACATCTTATTAATTAATTGATCTTTCCCTTGTAGACGAGTATTAACGTCATTTAGGTGGTTAGTTATATCGACCAGAAATGCAAAGTCGCAAATTCACTCTTTGTCTTCAAACTCTGGGATACTATTTGGCTTGCTTGCAAAAAATGATTTTATTTCTTGCTGCAAATCAAACACTCTTTTTAACATTTTGGCACAGGTCAGCCATCTTACTTCCGCATAAAATGTAACGTTACTATAATCTGAGTCCAATAACTTTAGAAATTCTTGGAACTGACGGTGATTCAACCCGTTCGACTTGATAAAGTTCGCTATTTTGAAAACCACTTTCATGACATGGTCCATTTTAAGGGAATTCGAACATAAATTCTCTTGATGAACAATGCAATGAAAATTTAGCATTGAAGTATTACCGACTTTGGAGGCCTCATTTTCAATCAATTTTACTAAACCTTCGTGTTTCCCAACCATTGCTGGAGCACCATCCGTTGTTAAGCCCGATAAGTTGTTAACTTGTAACGAAAAACGATTCAATGTCGATGTAACTGTCTCTAACAAATCTCGTGACTTAGTAGTGTCCTTAAGTGGATACAGTGCCGCTAATTCTTCTGTCTTTTTAAAATGGATATCAACACCCCTGATAAAAATTGCCAATTGGGCAATATCTGCTATATCTGTGCTTTCATCCAATGCTAGAGCATAAAATATAAACTCGGATGCTCCACTTTTCAAATTATCTTCAATATGCTTTCCAATGTCATCCACACGCCTAGTAATAGTTTGACGAGACAGACTTATTTTTGAGAAATCCTTCTTCTTTTCTGGACACAGAATTTCAGCGACGCTCTCCAAACATTCCTTAACCATTCCACCATCTGAATATGGCTTCGATTTTTTTGCTAGTATCATGGCTACTGCATAACTAGCTTTTACATACCATGTTGCCTCTGAACCCGCTCTAGTAAATATCTTTTGTTGTACAGAAATTTTTTTTAAAAATCATTCACTTGGTCCTGTCGAAATTGCCCTTTGTACTTATCAAACTTATTTGCATGTTTAGTCTCGTAGTGCCGTTTGATTTTATAGTCTTTCAAAACAGAAACAGATTCGTTGCATATCAAGAATATGGAATTTCTTTTAATTTCCACGAACAAATAGTTTATAGTCCACATATCTTGAAAACTTCTTAATTCTTCTGTGATTCTTCTCTTCTTTGGTCCAATATCTTTACTAGTTGACGCCATGTTAGGTCTTCGTTTTGAACTGAAAACATTTGTCCGTTGTGTGCCGCCCCGAGTTGAATTTTTGTCGATGCCTAAAGAAAATTTTCCGTTTTTAAATTTAAATTACATAAATAAAATGTTTCAGGGTTTACTTATAGAATCGATATGGTAGACAGGCTACTTGGATAAAGTAGTTTGAACTGTTATTATAAATATGTTAAATATGTATTTTAACGTCGATCGCAAAATCTCTCCAGATGGTCTGTACAGTATACAGGCCAGGTGTGGCCAAACTTTTATCCCTTAGGGGCTACTTCTTCGGTAAAATATAGTATGTGAGCGACTATGAATATGTCATGTTACTGTCTGACACATGATTTTGCGCCATTTTATGCGATTGCCATTTATATGCGCATGCGTTAACATTCATTTGCATTGTTCATTGGGATAAATACAAACAGTTTGGGTACGTTGCACAGACAGTCTATTATTGTTAGCATAAATTATCGAATTAAGATTTTTAAACATTAATTTAAGTGAAAGCAAATTGTTCAACTTTAGCTTCGCGAGCTACTTTCAAAACTTTTGTGGTCGACCGGTCGACCGCGGTCTACGTGTTGGCCATCCCCGATGTAGGCCTAAATTAGGTTCTGTAAGTCTAATACAGTACTGTAATTTTATAAAAACATTTCTTATTCAACGGTCATAAAAATTATTTCTATTAATGATGTCTCCAAAGTTCAACGAATTTTTTGCAGAAAAATAACTTATCAGAAAACGCGGCCGCCGTTTGGTACGCTGCTCCGCGACGAAAACAAGCTTAAGCAATGGTGTCGTCGAACGGTGCACACTCGGTAAGTAATCCTACAATTTTTTGTTTATAGCATAGTTTATACGGATTATTCCCAAAAAATTATACGTGTTTTGGAAATGTTGAGTCAAATTAGTCTAAAATCGATTAATTTTATGGAAGAAAACCTTTCAAACAGCCGTAGTGAGTAAACTGCACACGTGACGGGCTGTGATTGGCTCATGTATTTGAGGATTCCTACAACGCGAAATTCTTATAAAGCGGAACGTATCTACCGCGTTATAGGGGGTCGACTGTATATTAATTTCATTATAGTAATATGTTAAAGTGTATTTCCATTTAATAAAATTTAATTAAATGGCATTTTAATTTTAATTGGGCTGCAATTTGAAAATAAATTCTTACAAAGCAATTTCAATTTATTTCAAAGCCTCATAATTTTACTTTATTATAAAATCATGAATAATTAAACTCGGTTCAAATATATTTGAATACGAAGACAAAAAAAATTAAGTATTTGTTAAAGATAATAGAGAGAAAGACTTTGATTTTATTATTATTAATTAAATGCTTTTATTTAACTTGCTTTGTATCGCTCTCAAATCTTAAAACAGATTTCACCCACCTTTAATTAATAGCAAGATAAAAGGCTGAAGTCGGACGTGGTGGAGTGGAAAAGTACTGTATAATGTTAAGTCTACAGATGTACAGTACTGTATAGGACAGTACAGTACAGTACATGGAGGGTGCTCGCGCGCCATCTAGTGGTTTTTGTTTTTTTTCACCATTCGAACAGCCCGTTGCTCACTCACTACTCTGAATTCCTGCTGCTTTTTGCTAATTACACGTTAATTACAACTTTTTCCATTATTTTTTAACATGACTAAAATATTGTAATGTTTTAGAATCTGTAATGAATAAGTTTGTGTTGGTAAAATAAATGCATTTACAGTACTTTTATTGTCTTGTTGAAAAGTTTATAAAATAAATTAGTTTTTTTTTAGTATTGGCCTCAGCGCCAATTTCTGATTTTAGTTTACCGTTAATCCATGATGAAGTCAAAACGTGATTCTTACCATCAATTCGTTACTTAATGTCGATTGATGGATATCTCAACAAATCTACCAACAAAAGGAAGAGTAAATTCGAACATCTGACTGTTGATTGTTTCTCGAATAAAACTCAGATCTAAGGACAGAAAAAAATTCGAGACACAAGACGGACCTACACTATGGTCAGGTGAAGTTGGTTGTCGTTAAGAATGCTAAATTTCCACCCTGTAACCCGGTTGCACAACTGAAAGAAGTAACATGGTACTGGAGAACAAGAAGACTCCAATTTCTTGCAGACAGACTTGGAAAATACTTGCTGAATTGATTATTTTCGTGTAAAACGCCAAATTTTAAATGAGCTTATTGAATGTGTTTTAATTAAATAAAATCGACGATTTCGACGGGTTTCTGCTAGTTGAAACTAAATTCACACAGTGATATTATCATTTTTGTTTAGGATTGCTTCGGTAATGCTTTGTTTGAAAACTTTTTGTTGAATATCAAAAACTACGTCAGGGAGGTAGCTTTTGATACTCAACAAAAAGATTTTTAAATTGATCAATTTTAAATATTTTAACTTTTTAATTAATTTATTATAAAATAAACATTTTTATTATTTTAAAGGTTATATATAATTCATATAAAAAACAAAGTATTTTATCAAATTAATAATTCAAAAATATAAATTATATAATAGACGTTTTGAACGTCTTAAATTTTTATTAATAGATATTCAGAGAATAATATTATATAAAGTTTATTTTATTATTCATGCTTATAAATATAATGATATATAGATTTAGTTTTTATATGTTTAAAAATGTATAATATTTGAAAAAACCATTTTCAACTGTAATATGTTTATATCAGAGAAAGTCGTTATAGTTTTTTCTTAACTTTATTTTAAAGTATGTTATATTTTCATAATATTTTAATTAATATTATATATTTAAAGTATCAGTGTATATTAAATTATAAATAATTATAATTTAATTTTAATATGTGGCATAATTTTTAAACTAATTTCTTGCAGAAAGTTGCACATTTGTAAAAAAATCTTTTTAATATAATGAACTAATAAGGTCTAGCTATAGAAATAAATATAAAATGTTTACTTTTTCGGCTGTCTTGGAAAGTCTCTCTCTCTCTCTCTCTGTGGTGTGTGTTGGCATATAGTTTGCAATATATCTCAAGACCTGATAAACCACAAATTTTGAAATTTTGCAGAATTATTTCTATATTTGGAACATTGATACTATTAAATTTTGATACTTAAAGGTCAAGAGATGGAAAGGTAGAAGAGTGTCATCTCATGCATCTTATCTCGAGTGTGGTCACACTTAATAAAAGTTTTACTTGTTATTGGCATTTACCTTACCTTTAAGATCTTGCTGCTACCATACAAAATAAGCCTTATGCATTTTTCTACGGTAATAATTAATAATTAGAATTTTTTGAAAAATTTTCTAACGTGTTTGAAATATTCGGTATCAAATGAATACTGACCGCTATATCTTTTGGTACTTGTTTACTCAATGTATGTATTTATACATGCATTTCGAATCGACGATAAGAATTGATCGTGTCCTTCTCAGCTACAGTCGAATCAACAATAATGAATTTACATTAATTAATTAATAACATAAAAATTAACATTTAATAAAATCTCATAACAGATGGTGCCATACATAACGTCGAGAGTCGGGAAAGTCGTACAAGAGCCCTTACCAACTTTTTATAAAATAATAAAGGAAGTTGCATCTCTTAAATTAATTTTTAAAATTTGTAAATAATTTGAATCTATTTTCCTATACAGTACATACTTCTCAAAAAAGTGCTTCTTTTCTGCGTTCTAAATAGGGCATCCGTACTGTTTATATGCTTAATAAAATTTATTTAAGACGAACAAGACTTTAAATTGTAGGCCTAATTATTAGTAAGGTATTGTCAGTTGGCCAAATGGCTTATGAGGTTAATGTGGCAGCCTACTCTCTGGAGACCAAGGTGGAATCGAAAAGAACTATCTCTGTATGTCTGACGCCGTTCCTCAGACCCATTATGGATTTGGTTATGTCCACAGTGGGCCTGAAAAAATCCTTCTTACTGTTCTCAGGATGAAATAATAATAATAATAATAATAATAACTTGCAAACAAACACAAATTATTAGACATCCACGAACCATACTACAAATACATACCACAGACAGTATTGGAAAACAACACGCACAAAATTTACTACGACAGAGCCATAATCACAGATAAAACAATTTACCACAACAGACCAGATATCACACTCATTGACAAACACAATAAAATCACATACATTATAGACATATCCATTCCAAACACTCACAATGTACAAACACATGCACTGAAAAAATTAGCAAGTACACAGAACTCGCCCAGGAAATAAGGCATCTGTGGAGGATGGAAAGGATGCTTATTGTACCTGTCGTTCTCTCCTGTACAGGTGTGTACCACACACACTACACAAAAGCCTGGGAACATTACAATTGAATAGAAGTACATACATCACACTACAGAAGGTCACTATATTGAATACACGCCACATTGTTAAGAAATTCCTGAATACAGACACTGACACACTTATTTAATTTTAGTTTTGTTTTGGTTGCTATGCTTTGACTCTGGTNTTTATTGGTTCTTTTCTTCATGAGAACACAAAGATTTCATGTTGAGTTATTCAATATGTACAAAATCAAAAGATTTCAAACTAAAAAAAAATTCTATATTCTTAAAGGATAACAAAATTGCAGAAGCCAATAAATTGATAATCACTCATCCTTTTTATTATCTTGACATAGTTTCTCGAGTAAAGAGTAACATCAATACGTTGTCTTTCTTAAGAAGGAACAAATATACAAATAGACTTCTATTGGCTGTTCTTTGTAATAAGTTTTTCAATAAAAAATGATTCTATAATTAAAGAAAGCGGTTAATAAACATCTATATCATTTACAGGAGTCGGATCTTCACCGTTATTGATATCTGTAATTATCATTGCTTTCAGTCAATTCTGATTCTTTACAGGTAAAGATATTTCCAATTTTTCATTATTTTTATAAATATATTTCTTTATATTCTTTTTATGCATTCTTTTCTTATTCTTATTATGAAATACTTATACAAATAGAAC